TAGTAGAGACGGGGTTTCACCATGTTGACCAGGATGGTCTCGATCTCTTGACCTCGTGATCCACCCGCCTCGGCCTCCCAAAGTGCTGGGATTACAGGCTTGAGCCACCGCGCCTGGCCCTCTAATCGTATCTTTAGCACAGAGCCAGGGACATAGCCACTGCTCATGAAATCGTTGTTGGAATAAAATCTTTCCATTTCTCACTTTCCCTTTCCTCCTTCTTTCCAGGTGATGTGCTCTATGAACTCCTTCAGCATATTCTGAAGCAGAGGAAACCTCGGATTCTTTTTTCACCATTCTTCCACCCTGGAAACTCTATACACACACAGCCAGAGGTCATACTGCATCAGAACCATGAAGAAGGTACTGGAAGAGGCTTCTCTTTTCTTGCCTGAGGTTCAGACAAATTTAAGAGGTTTAATTGCTAACTTGATAAGCTGTTCTTATTCGTGTAAGTTCACTTTTCATTCACCAAACAATTATTGAGTGCTTACTATGTATAAGACACCAGGGAGAACGCCTAGGTGCATAAGATATACCCTTGGTTCCCTGAAGCTCACGATCAGAGTGAAGCAGTGAGATGGTTGTACACAGAAGCGTCACTGTATATCAGGCACCGTGAAAGTGTGGTGGAAGGGTCAATGACAGCCAGATACAGGGAGCAGGGTCAGCTCATACAGGAAGCAGCTCTGGAGCAGGCCTCAGAGCAATGGTCCCCAGCCTTTTTGGCACCAAGGACCAGTTTTGTGGAAGAGGGTTTTTCCACAGAGTTGGGGCGGGGATGGTTTCAGGATGATTCAAGTGCATTACATTCATTTCTGTTATTACTGCGTTGTAATACATAATGCAATAATTACACAAGCCACCATAATGTAGGATCAGCGGGAGCCCTGAGCTTGTTTTCCTGCAACTAGACATTCCCATCTGGGGGTGATGGGAGACAGTGACAGATCATCAGCCATGAGATTGTCACAAGGAGCACACAACCTAGATCCCTCGAATGCGCAGTTCATGATAGCGTTTGTGCTTCTACGAGAATTCACTTGCCCTCCGCTCACCTCCTGCTGTGCAGCCCAGTTCCTGACTGGCCATGGACCAGTACCAGTCAGTGACCTGGGGGTTGAGGACTCCTGCCTTGGAGATCCAGCAGGATTCTGATAAGCAAGGATGACATGAAGAACATTCCAGGCAAAGAAAATGACATAAGAGGGGGGATAAGGCTTTAAAATCGAGAGCAATTAAATGACTTGGATTATAGTCTTCTCTTCCTCCACTCTTTTATTGCAACAAATTTCAAACATACTCCACATAGAGAGAATAAAATCAATAAACCCCCCTAAGCCATCACTGTTGCCTTCACAGTGATCAACATTTTGTGCAGAGCTAGTCCAAGGAGCTTAGCCTGGAACCAGAGTGTGGAGAACTTTGATTTCTGGAATATGGAGGAAAGAAATGGGAAGTGATTGAAGATTTTTTTTTTTAGCAGGGGATAATAAAAGCTGGAGCAAGGAAATAAAAAATCCCCAAGTCTCTGAACTCAGTGTTGGCTCAGGGCTTTCTGCATCATGCACCAAAGGAGGCTGGTTAGCGTGTACTCAGTGTCGGTGTTTATTTCAAGTGTCCCGGTTGTTCCTCTTAATCACTGGTAGAAAGCAAAATACCAGAATTTAATTTAGGCCCTGGACCTAGTTCCAGAATAGGTGCTGGGGCACAGAAATAGAGTATAAAAACCTTAGTTGAGCACCATTGCATTAAACAGCTGAACAGCTTGAGCACTCAGTGATGGATCGTGCCTCTGAGGGTCACGATACCCACATCTTCCTGGTCGGATCGGTCAGACAACAGACGTCTGAAGGTGCACCCACTTCTTCACGTGTACTTTTCCTTAGGTCCAGATTACCAGGGACCTCGAACCCTGGTCCCTTGGGGCATTTCCTTAAATTGATCGATCATTCCCAAGAGCAGGGCTCACATTTCTGTTTTGTTGTTGGCAAACCAAAAAAATGAGAAGCTTCTTGTTTTCCTAATTAACACTTCACAAAAGAGAGCCTGACTCCAGGCGACTGACATCACCTCCTTGTGCCAGGCATTTCACAGCAGGGCCCCCGGCTTCCGTGATGGAGAACGAACAGCATTTCGTGCATGCTCCCTGCCTTCCTCTCATCCTTTCCTCCCCGCACTCTACCCTTGCTAAATTTAGCAGCTGCCCTCCTCCCCCAATTCGGTTTTTCATTCCTTTGCTCTTCCTGCCATGTGCATTTCCGGCTTGCATAATAGCCACCAGCCACTCCAGAGAAGAGGAGGTGGGTTTACTGAAGCTTGACATTAAGGCAAGAAATATATTACCTAGCCTGCCTTTCAGATACAAAGGGTGTGTGATGGGTTTTCTCTCTCTCTCTCATTCTTTCCCTTTCTCATTATTTTGTTTTCAGAAATCTCATTTGGAATTTCTGGCCCCACTTTATTCCTGAGTATGATGGAGGCTTGTGGTCTCTCCTCCTCACGGATCCTTCCTCTTTTCCCCTCAGCCTGATTTCACTCAGAAGTAGGTGTGTTTGTTGTTTTCATTTGCAGGAGGCCAGCAATAGAGAAAGCTTACTCTGAGAGCTGCTCTCAAACCAAGTAAATACAGATGTGCCACCGCATATGCTGTAATGAGCTTTCTCAAGTATTATCATGTCGGTGGTGGTGAGCTCCGTAGGTAAAGGAATGCAGCTAATGAGACCGAGGTCAAGGGTGTCATTGCCCTGTGGACCAGTTAGCTCTGCTTCAGACCCAGCTCTTAAAAGTCGTACATTTTCAGAGACCATTCCTTAAGCAGATGACCAGGAAGCTGAGTCTGAGAGCATGTGTTCCCTTCCTTTGTCTATTCAGGCAGGGCACATGTGCTCCGAGGAACAGGTGCACGTAACAAGGAGAGAAGTGTAGGTCTTTATCAGGTGGTATCCAGTGAGAAGTGCTATCCAAGGCACAGAGGTGATATGAAGAGGTGGCCCTCTCCATGTCCTGCCTTTCAGCTGAATGGTGCCCTTGATGACAAAGAGACCGAGTGGAGATGTGTGTGGCTCAGCACGGGTTTCCTACCTCCAGCTACTTCCTCTCTGTGTCCCTTCTTCTCCACTAAAAAGAAAAAAATCCAGCTCAACATAAATTGTTTCCAGAATCAATACTGTTACATTCAATTATGAAGGATAACAGATGATTGATGTGTGCATATGTTAACATACAGAAAGATCTGGTTCTGCAAAGATCTGTCAAATGAAATTATACATATCAAATATTACTTCCCCAGTGATTTATTATACATAACTGGGAATACAGTTTCATATAAACGTATGTTAACCCAAGATGACACGTTGCTATCAACTTGGCATAGGTAAATAGGTAGGTGGTGGGTAGGTAGGTGGGTGAGTAGGTGGGTGGGTGAGTAGGTGGGTAGGTGGGTGGGTAGGTGGGTGGGTGGGTGGGTGGGTGGGTAGGTAGGTAAGTAGGTAGATAGGTAGGTGGGTAGGAATGACGGAAGGGAGGTAGGTCAAGGCCCAACTCAGCTGTTAAGCAGTCCAGCACAGTGAAGCATGCACAGTCAAGTGCAAACACAAGGCTTCATTCAACCCCTGTGTGATTTCACCTCATCATGGCCACAAACTTAACCAGTTCAGACATTCATAATTTCACAATGGGCATTTATATCACAGCACAAATGTGTCTTGCTCAATCTAGCACGAGTTCCCCACGTGTATCCTCTATGACTGTCTTACATTGAAATCATGCCTTCCTTAGTAGCCACACGGCAGTGCCAGAAGCTAGGAAGTTGGTGTTAGCTCAGAGGTTCCCCTTCATGCCCTGACAGTAGAGGAGGACAATCATGCTTATTCAAAGCCTCTATATGTGAACATTCATTGTCTATATAATGTACTACACCATTCTGAAATCATATCATGCCTTGAGCAAAGCAGTCCTCAGATTCCACCTACCGCTGGAAAAGCCAGCATTTTCTTTTTCCTTACTTGTTAGTTATGGGAACGGAGGGCGATTTTATATAATTAGTTTAACCTTATAGTTTTTCATCCATACCAACACACTTATGACAGTGACACCAGACTCCATCAATAACTAAGCCAGGACTATAGGCAAAACCAGAACCAGAACTGTCCTCGACAAACAAACTGGGTGTGTGTGTGCGTGTGCGTGTGCGTGCGTGTGCGTGCGTGTGTGTGTGTGTGTGTATGTGTAAAATGTTTTAAAGGATGGGATCTGCAAGCCAGAAAACCAGGTCCTAACCCTTCATTCTGCCAGAACAGATCCAAAGGGCTAAGTTTCTCATCTCTCTGGCTCTGTCTCCCCAGTTATAAGGAGGGGTTAGACTAAATGGTTTCTGCAGTCTCTTACAGCTCTCAAATCCCCACGTTACATCTAAGGAATCTGAGTCTTCCTGGGCGATATGAAGATAACACATACTCCCTTCCCTCAGGGTCTTGAGCATCTAAAATCCAGAAAATCATAGCAGTGTCCTGCCTGGTGTTACTCAGAGGCAGGAGGAAAACTCTTCTGTCCTCATTGGTCTCACCTTATTGAGAACTTCAGAGAACGTTGCCCCTCTGAGAGTGTCAACAAGAGTAGCATCCTTCACTTATTTCGTCATAAGAAGCACAGTTTAAGGGCATTCTTTTTCTTTGACCGTTATGACTCATTTTGTCTGTGTAATATGAATTAGAATGCAGGTAGGTAGTTTTGTAGAGAAAAGGTAAAATAAACAATGATTTTACTTCTTTCACAGAAACCAGGAGGCAGAGCATCTTTAGAAATATCAGACCAGCAAATGACTGTAAATTTATTTTGTCACGAGCAGTTGTAATGATAACTTCTTTTCACACCTCAGGTTATTTTATTTTGGGTTTTATCCCCATATGTATATTTAATTGTCATTTGTCCTCTGATGTTGGAACTACTTGAATATTGGCCCCTGAAAGCTCGATGGCAACATAAAATGAGCTTCCCTTCTGGGCTAAAGTCTCTGAACGGGACCCGCTCCGCAGAATCACCCCATGGGATTGGACATGCTGTCTATGGGGAGAAAGAGCAAGATCTGGATTTCTCAGACATTCTCATCCCACCATCCCCTCGGAGGACCCACTAATAATTTCAGTTCTTCAGTCCCATCCTTTCTTCTGCCCCATCAGCGAGATTATGGAGCAGTGATTCTTAATCACTTTAATTTGCAGATATTCATACATGCAGGGCTGAGATCATTTCTATAGCAGTGGATGCAGTTTTAAGGTGGCAGTTCTGCTGTGGGACAGTTCTTTATTACAAGGTAAACATGGAAATTGCAAGTGGTGAGGAGAAATTTAAAGCATCCAAGT